AAAGTCAGAATTCTGAGATTAAAGTCAGAATTCTGAGATTAAAGTCAGAATTCTGAGATTAAAGTCAGAATTCTGAGATTAAAGTCAGTATTCTGACTTTTTTCGAATACTGAATTGAAATAAAATTTTTAAATCAGTCCCTTGTGAAACTTTTTTTTTTTTTTCCCAAGTGGCCCTAATCCTCTTCCGTAGGATACTGATGGGGATTTTCTTAATGTCTTTTTAAATTAAGCGCTCATTACCGCCTGTTTTTCTCCTATGAATTAAATAATATGCTAGATGCTCTCATTGAGCTCTGAGGAAGTCGGAGCAGAGCAAAATGGGAGGAACAGCAGAGGCTGTAGGCCTTAATTTGTTTTGCGCAGGCGGTCTGGAGCTCAGTGGGGTGAAGGATGTGGGATTTCGGTGTAAAACCGCATCACTGAAGAAGTGAAACTGATGCGGTGGAAGAGCTGCAGCCTCACTTTGGGTCGTCAACCGGCCCACGCTTGGTCTTAAATCAGAGCATGTGGTGTTAGGATCTTATTCATATTGCTTTGCTCTCTTTGTCCAGGTGCGTGTCATGTTTGAGGTGCAGGACCTGAAGTATGCGACACTCGCCACCGTGTCTCGCTGCGGCATGGTCTGGTTCAGCGAAGACGTCCTGAGCACCGACATGATCTTCAACAACTTCCTGGCTCGCATTCGCAGCATCCCGCTGGACGAAGGGGAGGATGAAGCTCAGCGCAAGAGGAAAGGCACCGAGGATGAGGAGGAGACAGCCTCGCCGATGCTGCAGGTGATTAAAGCGTCGTGTATATATAGACGCACTGCTCCGTTTTTAAATCTTAACTAAGGTTCTGTTTATGCTGTAGATCCAGAGGGACGCCGCAGCGATCCTGCAGCCGTACTTCACCTCCACAGGCCTGGTGATTAAAGCCTTGGAGCACGCATCCAAAATGGAGCACATCATGGACTTCACCCGCCTGCGCTGCCTGGGCTCCCTGTTCTCAATGCTGCACCAAGCCTGCCGTAATGTGGCTCAGTACAACAACAACCACCCAGACTTCCCCATGCCCATCGATCAGCTGGAGAGATACATGCAGGTTAGGCCCCGCCCTCCACACACCGCTTCCTTTTGTAGCACATGAGCCCCAAAGCACATTTCTTTCTGTTTGCAGAGGTATTTGATCTACGCCGTCCTCTGGTCCTTCTCCGGCGACGGCCGTCTGAAAATGAGGGCCGAGCTCGGAGAGTACATCCGACGCATCACCACTGTGCCCCTCCCCTCTGCTCCCAATGTTCCCATCATAGACTACGAGGTACAGCGTTCATCCCACATGTGGTGATATTTTGACCCTGTCTGTCGTCTTGGAAACCCAACATTTTTTTTTGTTTGTTTTTTTTTTCCCCCCAGGTTTGCATCTCTGGGGAGTGGCAGTCCTGGCAGGGCAAAGTGCCCCAGATCGAGGTGGAAACTCACAAGGTGGCGTCTCCTGATGTTGTCGTTCCAACGCTGGACACGGTTCGCCATGAGGCTCTGCTTTACACCTGGCTAGCAGAACACAAGCCGCTGGTCCTGTGCGGACCTCCTGGTTCTGGAAAGACCATGACGTTGTTCAGCGCTCTCAGGGCTCTGCCTGACATGGAGGTGAGCACAGAGCACCTGGAAACTTTTCTCCTTAGTTGGTTAAAAAGTTTAATCCGTTATGTAATGATTCCACAGTGGTGTTAAAGTCTGGACTAGATTAGAAGGATGAGAAAATAATGGAAATGGAAAAGGTAAAAAAGTGTTTTTCAGAATAAAAGAATCAACCTACTGTCGATAAAAAAACAAGCCACTAGTGCACTAAAAGAAAATTTTTATAGTAAAATGGTTAAATGTTGGAGAAATTATAATTCAATCATAAGTTTGGACTATTTCAATTAGCAAGGCTCGGGTTGGTTCGCTCATTTGAAACGGGTAAACTTTCATCCTCGTTTCTCTTAAAATAAACAGAAATTAGGTTTAAGCAATACCCAATCGTGTATCTAATAGCTGTCCTCTAGACGTCTTTCCTTCCTTTCACAGTAAATCAAAGTGAAGGTGATTTTTATTTTTGAAATGGAAAAAAAAAATCAACAAAAGGAGCTTTATTAAACCCAGAGAAAAGAGATGTTAAAATGTTGTGACGTCAACATGGTGAGATTCAGCTGCTGTTTTCTTAATGAAATAAGATTAAGGCCTTGATGTCAAAATAAAAGATAAAGAATTTTATCTCTGGAACAGGATATTAAAAATGATGTTTAAAAGGTTTTAAATGAAATGAAATTAAATAATGAAAAGTCTTTACTTGGACAGACTGTATTTGTTATTTTGTACACATATTGTATACAAAAAGGAATTTCGTTCAGTACAGCTCTCAAGAAATGTTCATATTTTTTTAAACTGCAACAGTTATAAAGGTAAGCAGCATTGATAATGTAAACATACAACTGTATATTAGTTACAGTTATTATTATTATTTTTTTTAATCCATTTTATACAACATTCAGCAGAAAAAAGAAGGATACCGTTTCATCTGGAAAGGAGACATTTTTGCTCTAATCCAGTAAAATTAAATAAAAAGGTGGATGTATGTTCTGATTTTTTAAATGTTATTTTTTTTATACATAGTCATTTTTGTAGCTGAAACAATCAGGCTGAAAGTGTTGCAGTAAAACTTTTTTTGTTAACCTTAAATCACATGAAATTTTCAAAACTGTAAAAAAAAAAAAAAATAAAAATCCACAGAAGTCTGAGGAGATGCCTGAAGGTTTGAGTCAGGAATGTTTTCTTGGTTCCAAATGAACAGGAATCCCAACAGATTTCCCCTCCTCTCTATCCACCAGGTGGTCGGTCTGAACTTCTCCAGCGCCACCACCCCCGAACTCCTGCTGAAGACCTTCGACCATTACTGCGAGTACCGCCGGACCCCCAACGGGGTGGTGCTCGCCCCCGTGCAGCTGGGCAAGTGGCTGGTGTTGTTCTGTGACGAGATCAATCTGCCAGACATGGACAAGTACGGCACACAGAGGGTCATCTCCTTCCTCAGACAGGTAGGATCGGCGCTCTGTAAGGTGAACATGGAGACGTACAGCAGACTCAGCGTTTCCTTCCCTTTCTTTTGGTAGATGGTGGAACATGGAGGCTTCTACCGTACCTCAGACCAGACCTGGGTTAAACTGGAAAGGATTCAGTTTGTTGGAGCCTGTAATCCTCCCACTGATCCCGGCAGAAAGCCTCTCACCCACAGGTATGGGGGACAGATTTCCTCTTTGCGGTTCCGCTTATATTGATGGAATAAAAAACAAATCATTGGCCATTTTATGGTGTGTTTTCTGACTAGGTTCCTGCGTCACGTTCCGGTGGTGTACGTGGACTACCCAGGCCCCGCCTCGCTGACACAGATCTATGGAACCTTCAACCGTGCGATGCTGCGCCTCATCCCGTCTCTGCGAACCTACGCTGAGCCTCTGACTGCTGCGATGGTCGAGTTCTACACAATGTCTCAGGTAGAGGAGCACTGTGAGGTTTTCTTTCTTCCTGTTATGCTCCTCTACGAGTCTGAAGGCTTCTGGGGTCAAATTTTAGCTTCATAATAGAGTAAAACTGTCATTTCAAAACTAGCTTCACGTCTCATCTGCTTATTTATTTTTTAAATGAGACATTTAATCTAGGAACCTCTACAAAACAAGCCTTATGATGCTAGGAAAACCAGGAATGTGGGATAATAACGTTGTGATGACGATATTTCACCAATAGCGGAATAAATATCTATAGTGGCTATATATATATATATATATATATATATATATATATATATATATATTCACAGCACTAAACCTTATCCTAATTTTATGTTACACCCTAATTCCAAATACTATTAAAGGGTCTATTTTCAGCGAATTCAACCTTTTTGAGCTTTAAACAGTGAGAAATTCTGGACTTTCTACCTTTAGAAGTGGGCAGACATGAGACGCAGCCTCACTGTTTTTCTTCAGGATTGGAAGAAAACTGAAGTTGCAAACCAATTTGATACCCAAGCAGTTCAAAAGGCATAATTTAATTCAGTTTATTTCTATAGCGCCAATTCACAGCACACGTCGTCTCAAGGTACTTTCCAGTTCACCAGATCATCCAGTCTGATTGATTCAAAGTTTTCTATCTAAGGAAAACCAGCTGATTTCATCGACTCATTGACTCTTCAGCAATCCCTCTCGCTAAGCATGCTGGTAGTGACAGTGGAGAGGAAAAACTTCCTTTGAACAGGAAGAAACCTCCAGCAGAACCAGGCTCAGTGTGAGCGGCCATCTGCTGAGGCCGACTGGGGTTCAAGGAGACAGAAGCAGAGATACAAAAAGAAGCATAGATACAAAAGGCAACTGTCAACCAGCTCCACAGGCGGCCCCGTCCAGGAAACACACAGCCAGGCAGAAGAGCTCCGAGCCAACTCCCATGTCAGAGGATGAAGAGAGCACATCCAGTTAGTCACAGTCAGAGAAACAGGACTACACTGAAAAACAGGCCAAGCTCCAACTTCTATAAATAAAGGTGTTGATGGCAGCAGCACAGCTGATATTTTTCTCCAGGATGGAGTCACAGCCAAACAGGAACAGACCAGATGAAGCTACTATCAGAAAAAGTAGCGATAGAACAATTTTAGAGGTTAAAATAACAGATTCTGCTGAGCGGGAGAATAGAGATAGAATGATGAAAAAGGGGTTCCTATGTCCCCCAGCACTCTAAGACTATAGCAGCATCATATGTGAGGTGAAAAAATAATTAAACTATTTGAGAGACTCTTTTTAGGAATTAAAACATGAACAAACCTGATGTTTTATTATCCTGACTTCACAAGTTAAGGCAACAAAAGCTGCTTGATTGTATCCTGATTAAAGAATAATAAAAAGTTCCAACAAAACGATCTTAGATGGAAACCATGGAGATGACGACACTTATCTGATCTAAACCAGCATAACGGCTTATCTGACAAAAATAATGTGATGTTTAGGATGTGATGAAATATTGAGCTAATGCATCTCTGTCCCCTCCTTCAGGAGCGGTTTACCCAGGACATCCAGCCCCACTACATCTACTCTCCCAGAGAGATGACCCGCTGGGTCAGGGGTATCTTTGAGGCCCTGCGGCCGCTAGAAACCCTCCCTGTGGAAGGACTCATCCGTATCTGGGCTCACGAGGCGCTCCGTCTTTTCCAGGACAGGTGTGAGACTCTGACCTGGAGGTGCGCTCTGTGGCTGTGAAATGAGATGATAGATCTGTGGTTTCGTCTCCAGGCTTGTAGGTGATGAAGAGAGACGGTGGACGGATGAAAACATCGACATGGTGGCTCTGAAGCACTTCCCCAACATCGATAAGGAGAAGGCTGTGAACAGACCCATCCTCTACAGCAACTGGCTCTCCAAGGTGAGCTGAACATCTTGATTTTTTTATGCCTCTCATTGACTAGTTGTTGGGTTTTTTTAAGATTTCTTCTTGTGTTTGTAGGATTACATCCCAGTTGAGCAGGAGGAACTGAGGGACTACGTGAAAGCCCGTCTAAAGGTCTTCTACGAGGAGGAGTTGGACGTCCCCCTGGTGCTCTTCAACGAGGTCCTGGACCACGTCCTTAGAATCGACCGGTGAGGCTCCTAAGTTTGTTGACCCAGTTTACCCCTTACCACCAACATCAGCTCTTTACAGGATATTAATGTGATAAAACAGAGTTGGGTATGACTGACTGAAAGGAAAATAGGAGAATTTCTTTTTCAATCCTTCATTTTTTTTTGGTAAGCAATATGAAAAGTGCGGCTTGTATTTGTAATCAGCCTACTGAGTCGGGGCACCATGAAAATCCCCTTTTAGCTCCATTTGTACATCTGTCTACGGAAGAGGATTAGGGCCACTGGAAAAAAAATGTTAACCGATTTTTAAATTTTATTTCAGTTTAATATAGTAAAAAAGGTCAGAATTCTGACTTTAATCTCAGAATTCTGACTTTTTTTATTATCAGAATTCAGTCAGAAATCTGAGGGAAAAGTCAGAATTCTGACATTTTTCATATGTTAAACTGAAATAAAATTTAAAAATCAGTTAGCATTTTTTTTCCACTGGCCCTAATCCTCTTCCGTATCTGTCAATCAATCAATAAATCAATCAATCTTTATTGTCAGCTACAATTTGGAGTGGGGGGTAGAAATGGATGTGTGAGTAAACATCCTGATTTAAGATGATACTAGTGAATGTAAATGTAAAAAATATAAATCCCTTTATTGTCCAGAAAGGGGAAATTTGTTCACAGCATTTTGACCCATCCCCTTGGGGAGCAGTGGGCTGCCATTGTTTGGTGCCAGGGGAGCAATCAGGAGTTAAGGATTTTTGCTCAATAACCAACAGTGGAGGCTGTGGGTACTTGCAACCTTCTCAAAGCACAAGCACACTGCTCTAATCTCTAGGCCAGAGGTCACTGATCCAGACCCACCTGCTGGCTAATCCGGACTCAACCTGATTTAAAACGTTTATAAATTACCGCATGTTGTCCGACGGCAGTGTCTAAATTCACTTGCGCCGCTTCTCCAGTAAAGCCCTTTGGAGCGGCTACTCGTGATCCAAATGAGCCAATGAGCTGTCAGTCTGGGTTGCTGC